ACATTATTTTGATGACCAGGTGATGACAGCCTCAGATGTTCGAGAAATAATATATGCGCATATATTTCCTAAGCTAACATGACAGATCGTCTGGTAAAACTTTTAAAATGATACTTTAGGATGGTGGTACAATTAAAAAAGGATAGATGACATAATGGAAATTTTGGGATAACAATTCATCAAAAATGCCTCTACATCACAGTCGGATGCACCCACTTTGTCAAAAAGTGAAGCTTTTTCGCTTGGTTAAGTTCGTTTCATGATACAGACATGCGTAGTTCCGTTATCGACATTTTCAAAATGATATACGGTTTATAAATATGAGTGAAAGGCTCTATTTTATCCCTCAAACCAGGGTTCCGGCTCAAAATCCATCGCGCTGAAAAGTATTTATGGTTGGATCGACATGGTTGAATGCAACGCGATTGTTCTTTTTCTCAAAAAAAAGCTGTAAATATTGCGCTGTTGGTCTACCGCCCCATTCAAGGGCAGTATCATACCTGGAGGCTCAGCCGAATCGATCACTGCGTTTTGTTATCATTGAGCCAGAATTCAGTAAATTAAACGGAACAAAGGCCTTACTATCTCGCGAACCGTCAGTTTAGTCTAATGAAGGACTCCCTTGCCCATAATTGTAGACAGCAATAAGAAATCTTTCAGTAGATAAGCAGAAGGCAAAATACCATTTTTCCAGATGTATCCACATGTGTTAATAAAAAAAGCTTGCAGCTATGATAGACCGATGTAAATATTTAAAGCTGAAAGAATTATCTCCTCGTTCCCCCCACTACGTCGTAATATGGTTCGACCAACTTTCTTTGTCGAACCCGTCACATGATGAATATGGAATGTCTGGTAAATTACAGGAGTTTTCAGTTTCATTGGGAATAAACATGCAATTCCAAGCTGATTGAACATCCTATGGTGGTTAGTGGATCACTTCTTTGCAGTAATAAAATAAAGGGGGTAAATGGGGGTGGCCTGACGGTAAAATGGTGTCGGACTGATACGTGTGCTCAGAATCTCCCACCCAGGCTCACCGTTTCAAAAGTATTCATAAAGGTCAAGGACTGGTCTCTCTCATGCTCACACGAAATTCAGTGGAGAAGAATCACAAGTTTTTCTATGTGGAATCGACTTCAGATTCCTGAAGGATGAGGTTCCAATGTTATTTCTAGTGGGTCAGGTCGTTCTGTCATCCTATATCCTGAATGAACGATGACCACGTGACCTTTAGGCTTGACCTCCACTGCTCTCCTTCTCTGGTCGGTGCTAATGTAACCACTGTCCTTGATCATTCTGGGTTCCAGTTTCTGACCTTTGTTGATCCGACCCCAGGGAGTTTCTTGTTTCTTGGTTCGTCAAGCCGATAGTCGACTCTGTGTGTATTCCAGTCGAACTATCTGTCCTTTGCACTTAGTGATGGATGAATCTGATCCAGCTCACTGCATGGGTAGATCGAATCAATAATGGTGTACCATGTCTCCGGAAATTCCCTTCCACGTCTCGTGTCTCTGTATGACAAAAAATGTGCAAAACAATTCAGCGCACAACTACCGACCTATCGCTACGCCCAACTACGCTCCCTAACAACGCATTGACGATGTCACCTTCATTAATGTTGAAATATTTGCAATCAGATTGCTTAGATCAGCGAACAAACCTACGACTAGAGAACGCTCAGTTATGAAATATAGTTTCGATGAAGCGTGTCCGATATTGATAGTGTGAGTCCACTGAGGTGATCAGAGGACGTGGCACATTTGCCTACACAAAAATCACATATAGCCCTTCGAGCCGGAGATTGGGGTTAGTCTGCAAGATACGCTAGATAACCACACCGGAGGACAACAAGGTTTGTTAATGCTATCCTACCTATAAGGGATAGGCAGAGAACAGTTTAATTAGTTTTAACCCTTCACCAATCATGTGCTAGCAAACTCAAGGATCTCGTGTGTTTGGTGGAGTCCTCGGGCAGATGGCGTTCATGAATGCGGTCAACATACTAATTGTTAGGCGTGTTATCAGCCGTATTATTGGAGGCAGACATAAGCATTGAATTTACTCCTTGGGCAAGGTGTGTGATAAAGCACTTCAACAGTTCTCGGGCTCTTGCTGCAGCTGAGACTATTGGAAGTAACTTGTGAAGCCATCAAGTGAAACCACTCAGAAGCAGTCTCGCACAGCCTATGCATCACGAAGAGTGGCTACACCTAGCAAATAGAATGCGTTCGCTAATTTTTGGCCTTCGTGGCTAGAATTACGCAACAGCAGTAATGTTCTATATGTCAGATTAAGTGTGATCGTCACTGTACTCACGAAAACCGGTGGTCTTTCGCACCGAATACATGAAGAAACAGAAGGTCGAGCGATGGTGGAGGATAATGAATTAGTGGACACTCACCAGTGCTGTGACGGACGGAAATCGGGAGACAAGCAATTACGTGAACATGTGGGTGGACATGGGTGAGGGTGGATTGCGGTACAGAGCATGATGGCGAGAAGGTTATCCAATGAATGTCGTGGTCCGTAAGCGTTACAAGTCAACCCCACCCTGTGATTGGTCCTACGGACATATACGGCATGAGAGATGGCCGCACTGGTTGTGACTGTACGAAACGTAGTGCTAGGGGTGCCGAAAGAATCCCTGTCACAGAAACCGAAAATATGTTCGTATGCATACGAATTTCAGCCACCATTTGCCTCGTTCATGTAATACGGTTCGCCACATAGACGATATGCAGCGAGTTCTCTGAAAATTACAGTTTTGCCAGTCGCGAGCTCTATTTATTTTAAATTTGTGACCTCTTCAAATTGGGAGTTCACTGAACCAGTTTGGTTAAATGACTATCCAGACACTGGAATATTGCCGACGACCGACCTGATTGAATTGGATTGACTGCGATCCCGTAGTACCTAAAAAATTGAGTTGGAGGGCGCCACGAGACAGGAGTATGCCAATATCAGTATAAATGTCGTCCTCATCCTCGGAAAAAGCACAGCAAGATTATCCATTAAGGCTACGAGACGATGTGATCGCGATATATCAGTGTCTCTGTGGGTAAATCCCTTATTTTGTGAATACTGTAACTATGTATTATTGCAGCACACAAGAGTGGATAGATTTTCAGTAGCTGTACTATTAATTACAAGTCACATGAATACAAACTGGGAAAATCACGTAGCCCCAGGTCACTATAACACTACTTCTAATGTTTCATTCATCCAACCCATCATTTTCCTTCCAGGTATGACCGAGTACATACTTTGACAAAGCCTTGAGGCATATCACCGAGTACCTGTGCAGGCTTTACCAGTAGGCGGAGCTTCTTGTTATAAGCCAGATATGAGTTTGGAGAAACTTCATAAAACTTTCTAATTGAGAGAGATAACGACCTTAGGTTGTTTGCAATGTTGAGTAAAAAGGTAACAGCTGAAGATTAGATAAAGAGATATTGATCAAGGTAGGAAATATCCGGATATTTCCTGTAAGTTTTCGTAAGAAAAATGATAAACATGCATACAGAAGAACCATGTCTCAAGGTTTTCTTCTTTGGTAGTTAGCTGTTAATAACCCGACTTGCCAATTAGCAGAGCAACAGATCCTTTGTTTGTCCATGAAGGGATGGAAAGTTCCGTAGGTGTGATTCTTATTGAAACCTATTAGTGCACAGGTGGTGGTAGCCATAATACAAATCAGAAGGTGTATGCACTAATAAAAGTTTTTAGTATTTCTGCGACACGTATAAAATAAATACAACGTGAAATGGGAGCAAGTCAAAAAGGGAACTTATCATATATGAGAGTCCCTTGGTGGAAGTCCGGACGGCGGGAACGTGTTTTTCTCGCAGTTAGACTGCTACACCTACTCCATGGTTGTCCGTGGACTTGTGGAGAGGTTGACGTCCTGTTCCCTACGCGCGCGCGAGTCTGTGTCTTGACTGGGTTCGGTTTGCGCAGAGCAACAGATCCCTTTGTTTGTCATGAAGGGATGGAAAGTTCCGTAGGTGTGATTCTTATTGAGACCCTCACCTTGCTTAGCTGAAATGGACGACCGCGGATTCCACTAAAAGAGATAAGGGCCTCGATGCAGAGCTATTCAACTGAACAGTGACAGACTATTGGACAGGGAAGCAAAACTCTCCGATGCATCTTGTTTATAAAAAATAAGTACCCGCCTTCATTTCGAACGCGTCTTCCTGAAATTTCCTGGATACTCATTGACTATCACTCAAATGTAGACGGATGCTACGAAGACTTTCCACAAATTATGTAATAAATCTCACTTTTCAAAAGACGCGGAGCGGATTTACGAGAAAACCACATACTACTCGCACGCCTCGTCAGTAGTATCCACCGTCACACCAGTAGTCTATCCTTTTTTCAATCCTTAGTGGTAGCGTTTTCGGAAGTCATGAATGAGTTTACAACTAAGTCGCTCCTAGTGATCCTACATAACGGGTTCCAGAGATTCGTAAATCATGGCGTTGCAATGAAGTTAACATTTTCGAATCGGTCTAGTGAGATCACCTTGTAGTCAAAGTGGTCAGTTGCCATTTTGAACACATTACTCATTTTCCATCCGAGTGAAATTTAGAATAATCAACTTCCAGTACATCTGAATGTCACATTGATAGCGAAAGTGCTTGACTTCAGACAAATTGCGTTATTGATAAACTTTGTCCCATCATGCACTGACCGACCAAAATAGAAAAATGCTCTGACAATAAGTTAACTAAACTTAAGTTAATCGACTAATAATGACCGAAATTTACTTTTGCACCATACTCAGTTGCCAGAAACAGGAGATGTTGTTCCGTGAAATGGGGTCCGTTGTTTTCTGCGAAACAGAAGAGTACAGCGCTTGACAGTTCATTACTGGTGGTCGAAATCAGATGACTGTAGCTGTTTTTCACAGCATACGTTGCTTACAATTTCACAAACTACCTACTGTGTAACAAAATCATTATTTAATTCAACCACGATTTGTCCACGTTCAGCGCCAAGAAACTTTGTCCAAACAAAGGAAACGTGTCCTCGCTCTTGAAGGCAATAGAGAGATGTGTACAGCCATTGAGGTCCTTCCAACGGTAGTCAAAACTCCGTTTCTACCCGACAATTCACGACAAGTTGGAAGTAGTGGCAAGCAATTGCCCTCAAGTAAAACGGGAACGCTTGAAGCGAAAGCTAAACCAACCGAAAATTATGCCATCCTGCCGGTTCCCCGATCAGTGGCTGCTTTGATAAAGGAAGAAAAGAGAGCTCCATTGGCAGTCTATTCTGACGATTCCCTAAGTTCGAATACAACGGTCAGCAGTACAGTGGACAACGCTAATCTCGAGAACATAAAAACTGCGAAGGCTAACACCAGCTTTAATCCAGGCAACGTTATATGCATGATCGATGATACAAGTGACAGTACCTTGGAAAATCAACCTTTACCAGTTCCAGCTGGTATCCTCAAAGCTTCTGTTCAAGCCATCTCAGGAACCACAACCTCACTGAAACCAATCAACCGACCTTCGGTAAAAGGTAGCCGAGGCGTTATGTTTAGCACGACTGTAACCGTCGATGATGGTTCTGAAGTGGTCCGTCTCAACTGTACACTGGATGAATCAGAACTGGGAAAGAACAAGGTTCCACCGACAGAAAAACAAACTTCCAGTACGAATAAGTTGGTTTCAGCAGCCGATAAATTCTTGCGCACAAAATCTCCATACGACCGGATACTTGGTTCAACGAAATTCTCCAGCAGGCAGTCAAATACTCGCGTTCCAGGGTTCTCTGCATCCTCAGATCCACGGAGTAAAATGACATCTTCAGAAGAGCCTTTAAATGAAAAACCAAGTACCAATGAAATTAGCACTCCTGAAGAAAACGACCTCGAACCGACCGAAGAGGTTGCCGGTATTCCTGCTCCACCACCGCGACGAAGTAGTCAGATAACAAGCAGCTCGGGAGAGGCAGCTGGCTACCTGTGTGCACCAGCTTCTGTCGGTCAAGCAAAGAGGACGAGTGATGATAATGAAACTCCGGTGAGTGCTGACAATTTCGAATATAATATTTAAGGAACGCTGTCAGTTTAGGAGTTTGGTGACAATGAAGCTGTCGTCTTTGTATAAAGTGTATCTATCTGACATACAGTCTCCACAGTGATATCTGCTGCCACCGACATTCAGAACTGTGATCACTTCTTAGCTCGAAAATATGTGGGACATAGATAGTTTGAACGTGGGGGCAAATGGGAGAGAAAATGGTACACAAATATACGTAATGCACTACTAATGATGCAAATAATTAAAAGACCAGAACACTCGACACAGCTCGACCGCTGAGCTAAAGTTTCAACTGACTGAATGCCTTTTTCCGTATCTATTGTGCAAGTCAAGTAGTAAGCGTCATAGACTCAACGAACCCGCGTGAAAAGGGAGCAGTTTACACTACTATTATCCGTTTGAATCGGTACAAGCTTTGCTGACCTCATGAGAGTAAACAACACTCAATACATTTGAGAGACATTCGTTGTCTGACAATGGATTAAAAATTTACAAAAAAAGTGGAACAAATCCGGTTTCTTTTCAGAATTACTAGCTTCTGGGACAATGGTAGATAACGAGTTGCTGACAGACTCATTTGAAGTAATCTATAAAGGGAGCTGCATGCTGTTCTGTCCAGCTTATGGGCCACAACTTTTGAAGGGAAGTAGTGAGGCAAGCCAGAAATTTTACCGAAACCATCTGGCATTTGAGAGACCACGGATGGATCGATTGGCTCACTACCTGTTCCTTCCATTCATGAAGTCGTTTCTAAAAAAATGAGCTGGTATGCGTCTAGATCATACACGAGGGGACAATAGGGGGAAATATCTTCGGCACAGAAAAGTGTGTATAGGTTAACGGAGTGGAAGCGGAGAATATGATAGAAAAAGCTTTGACTTACCGATCATTGGAATGTTTCATGTCCGTACATTCTAGCGGAATAAATCGAGTGTCATGACGGGTACGTTTGCTGTCAGGTTCTGGTTCAATCAGCAATACCTACTACAATGATAAATCACACATAGAGTTGAAAACCTACTGGATAAGGCACACAAGCAATCCCAGCAGCAAGGATTTTGTCACTTTTCAGCTGAACTGGTTAACTAATTTCTGCGTTTATCATGTGGCGGATATTTTGTTCGGTAGGGTTCGCAAGTATGCCGGATTAGTCGTAACAATTATGCGTCTAACTGGTGTGCTGTACAAATATGCTACTTCAGTGCTGTCCAAAAGTTTAAACACCCTGTTGTTGCTGGTGTCCACTGAGGCTGTTGCACTAAGATCCATTCCTTCCGTTTTCTTTCCCATTTTTCTGCAGTGTTTCACGGTCGTGTGGCAATTGTAGTCCGTTGTCCATATTGGTGGTGAATTCTTAGTACTGTAAACTACTGTCCCACTAAGATGGAAAGAAGAGTCTTCTAATTCTCTTAAGTGTGGCCTGTACTTTTGGAATGCCAGTTCAGATCACGACCGACGTCAAGTTACCAGTAGTTTGGTCTCCTAATCAGGTTAGACAAGATATTGACAGTGCACACCTGAATTAATTGCAGTAAGCCATCGGCTTTCCTCCCGAGAGATTAAAGCAGTCTGTGATACAAATAAGCGCAATTCAACGCCTCTATGTGAACCTTTCTATATACATATCTTAGCAAATATACTGCGATATCTCGAATATCGTGCCAACTAAAACATGAGGCGGCCTATGTGCAGTGCATTCAGTTTGAGAATATCATAAACGTGGGGTTCAGTTGAGTCTCCCATGGAGACCAAATTGATTTGCAAATGAGTATAGTTGTCGGAATAATCTCATCCATTTAAGTTGAGTTTGAAGGCAACCGTTAGAGCCATGGACACATTTAGCACTTGAATGAGAGAAAGGAATTCCTTCAGTTTTATGCCGGTGGCAGATCAAAAAGCAGTTGGTCAGCGCTGTACTGTGTGGACTTGGGCATTCAGCAACTATGTCGCCTGGCTCAAAAAGCCCGCCAGATGGTGGGTGAGAAATCAACGACAAGGGCGTAATAAACAACTCTCAGGGGAGTAGCAACCATTCACGATTGGTTTGTAGCAGCGAAATCAAACAGAAAGGAGCTCAGACATAGTTAATCTTTAGTAGGATCGTTCCATCCCGTAACAAGCAGATCTTCGTTCGACGGATCAATTTTTATGTAATTAACAACAAGTACTTTGGATGTCTAGGATTTATTCAGGAATACTTACGGACAGATTAGCTTTGGGGCTAAAAGCTTCCACAAACACCACCAATTTTCCCACAGCAGTAAACTCTCTGAGACCAGAGAGTTTGCCATAATGATAATTTCGTTGAGACCAGGTAGCGAAAGGAAAAAAGAAGAAAGCGTTCAGCTGTAGCACCCTTCCGGTGCCTAGCTGTCATGCCACCCGAAGGAAGCACGAGGGCTGGGATACTACCAGGTTGCCCAAGCCAGGGGGAGTCGAGTGGCAGAGGTCGGATTCGAACCACGGACCTTCCGGTCAGTAAATTCGCGCTCTAACCACTTGGACCATCTCGCCCACGTAGCATCAGGTAGCACCTTAAACAGAATTGGGGATCAAGCAAGTGCACTATTTATAATGGAATTTTCTAAGACAACCTGATTAACTTCTCTTTGACGAGGTCGCAAAGAACCGAGCCACCATATAAGAAAAATTTTTGGTGGTTCCACAATCCTTCGTCTAGCTCCCCGTGATGTAGCCGCCTCCCAGAGAAAAACGAAGCTGTCGGTTTTCTCCAGTCCTGCATATGGTTGTATTAGCTCAGAGTTGCTAATGTGGAAATGAACTAGGTGGGAACGCGTGGGCTGGTTTTAACATCCACCTAACCAATATATCATATTTCTCTGTCACTAGTTAAGTTTTCTTGGTGAAGTGATAAACGAACTTAGAAGCGACATTATGCCATTCATATGGATCCAAGTTTTATCGTTATCATACTTTCCGAGTCTCACGCTTTGCGTACGGAGCGCACAAAGTACAAAAAGCCAGAAAAGGTTATTTCTCCAGAGGTGGTGGAACACGCTCCCATACATGCTAGCACTTGAATTGTCCGTGCAGCTTCGTGTTCGCGAGTCAATCAAAGTACACAAACCCATGCTGATCGGTAACACCAGTGCATAGTTTCAATCAGATAACGACTTTTTATCTCCAACTGTGTAAGTCCTTTATGGTTAAAAACCAGTCCAATAGCACAAATTCCAGAGGCCGCTTTACTGAGAAATTCAGATTACAGTCAAACGACCCAATTCAGCAAAACAACTTAGTTCAATTCACCTCTTACGAGGTAAAAAAAAAGAGGGTACGTATGGAAAGGCTGAGGCTCGAGAACATCATAAACGACAGATTCAGCTGGGTTTCAGATGAGTCTCGCGTCAAAACCAAACTGGTATACAGGTGAGTGTACTTTGCCAAGGACTCAAGCGATGAGTCAAACCAAACTGGTATACAGATGAGTGTACTTTGCCAAGGACTCAAGCTGTTTTTCTGATAACGACCACGTAGCTATTCACGACACTCGAAGACGAAGTAAGTAGCTCTCCCTAGGTGCTCTTCTAGGTGCCAAGAATGTTGCTAATATAGTTGATCGTTTGCCGCCTCATTCCTCAATGCCGTACAGTAACCGCGACCATTTAGAAAATGCACTATCTTACTGAAAGACATCAGAGAGCAACCAAGTCTCCTAGGATATGTGACTGGTAAACTGATTTTTCCGAAAAAATGGTGTCCTTGTTTGTCCCTATCTTGGTGGGCAGTTTTGAGTTTTGCAGTTCAACAACATGGTTCCAAACTGTATACAGACTGGTCACGGACGTCATACTGTTCTGTTATCACAGTGATCTGATTACTCACCTAAGAACAAATACCTACCTTGTTTTGCAGATTACTAACCAGTCACCGAACTCAGCGAAACGGGGCCTTCCGCTTCCGATTTCTACCGACGTCAATGAGGTGTTGACAAGTCCGAGCGAATGATTACCGGGCGTCCTTATCGTATTCAATGTAGGCCACAACGCCAGGCTCACAACAGTGGTTTGTGGCAATCATCGACACACACACAGTATGCTCTAACGGCATCAATCAATTGACGGTGAATCCAGTTTGAGCTCCAAAAGAGAAAGACGTCTTCCGGAAATTTTCACCGACTGGCTGTTGTTTTAGATCCCTTCTTCCTATTCATTCTTCGAAGCATAGATGCAACCATAAACTTCTTCTCTCAAGCACTGTAAACTGTGTGGCTACGTCTGTATGCTCAAAGTTCAGTTGACTGTTGATGGATTATTGCCATCAATAACAAATTATTGATCACAACAAGAAACTAGATCATTTGGTTGCGAGAGGAAGGAAAATCCTTCATATGTATAAAATGACACCCTGTGAAAATGTCATGTGATATGATTTCAGTTGGTGGATCTTCTCTTCTCTTGACCGGGTAGCGAGTACTGGAAAACTATCACTAAACTCAAATTCCCAGCTAACCTGGCAGTTCCTTTTGAATTCTGATTGAAGTTCAGCGATAAAGCTTAGTGCTAAATTGTATACCACACAATTGCTTTCGTCGCAGGTAGTAAAGCTGTATTCGAGCCATCCAAGCATCGTTTATTTGCGCAGGCCTCTACAGAAAAACATCTGGTTATTCGTGTCATGCCGGTTTATTATACGATGCGAGACCTGCTGAAGTTGGCAGCCACCTGGAGCAAACTAAAACCTTCGTTGTATGTGGATACTAACTCATATAAATGCACATAAATCCCACCCGAGTAAAAATACACCTTGGTAAAAGAAGTAACTTATTATTACCATTCATTAGCAAATACGAATGAAGCGGTTGCAGTTCATGGAACACGAAAATAACTATCTCATCCGCACAGAGTTTTTGAAAAGTGGACATTCTTAATCGCCCTCTTGAACATTAAGTATTAAACAATAGTAAACAAACACCGCAAAACGGTTCCGTAATTTTCGTGGTAGCTTCCACTTTTCATCGGAGGTGGGGGCGGAGCCTGCATATCAGAGCATATTCTACTTGCATGCTTCATCAGTAGTATGCAACATCACACACACACTAGTACAGAAACCCTACGTCTATTTCGCAATTTTATGTGTGGGAAGTGTAAATGATAACTGTGTGGTTATGTTGGCATAAATTTGCCAGTGCTGTCCAGGTGAAGGATTTTAGTAACGTGGAACCCGATGAAGCCTTAAATGTAATAACGACTAGGAGGCGTCTAGACCGCAGTAAAAATTGCGGTAATGAAGAATGAACAATCAGATGCGCGATTATCATCCGGAACATACTTTGGCGAGGGCACTTCTTCGATGGATACTGAAACGTGCACTTGGTTGTAATCTTCAATGGGGAAACAGGCGATCAACAAGAAGTGTCGCTGCTAGCATCTGCGCTTGAAGAGGGAAACATGCAACTGGCCGGCTGTTGTTCTGTTCGTTGAGCTGGGAAATTCGGTCACAAAGGCTTCATCAACTGAGATGATCAGACGTCGCCCACCCTCCCTCAGAGCGCTGATCAACGCGCACACACCGACGCACTACAATGCAACGCATTGATGATGTCACCTCGGATGGTGACGAAAGGTTTGCAAGTGTATTGCCCAGCTCTGCTATCGGAACAATAATCGCTTGTACAACCTGAGCTACGAGCATTCTCCTCGACTCAACTATCTGCAGCGCTTGTCAAGATGTGATAGAACTTCTCTACTTTGACCGGAACAAGACATTCCTACGCATCCGTAACTGAGGCACGTTTCACTGTATGGATATACTCAATCGGTATACTAGTACACCATTCCTATGGTCTAGTTCATTAATACAAGAGGCGTTTTTAACAATAAAACGTTTGTTTTTTATGTATACATAATAAAAATGGAAGCGTCAGGTTTTCTTGAATCTTCCATTATTTCTGCATAAAATAGTGTAGTCCATTCTAAAAGACGCTGTTGCAAGTAGTCTATGCAAAGTGACAGACTATGTCAAGTGAATTCGAGCAGGTCTGCCAGTGTTCCGTGAGGATTTAGCCAACAAGGAACATTCCAACCATCGTTTGAGGGTCAAGTGGTGAATCTGTCACAAACGAGGCCTTCCAAATACTGTTTCCTCGATGCCTGCAACACATGCAGCCAAAAGAGGCAGTGCCCTGCTTGATCAGAACTGTTAACTTGTGCCACGAGTTAAAAGTTTAGTCCCACGGCAGACAACCACCAGAAATCCCATTCATTCCGATAGTTGCTCATCCGTAACCCTATCCTCATGGGAAATACTATCGTATGAAAAGGTCAGTATGCTTTCCATGTCCGAAGTTTTAGATCCCAAATAGTTCATCTGGCATCTAAATACCAGCCAACAAGATTACGTGTCGCACCTTACCATAGGATCAAAGGGCCCTTGGTCACACTCGCGGATGGGAAGAATCAAGTAAGTGGTAACCATGAGGCACAAAGTGTTCAACAATAGAGTCAACTCAGACAAGTCCCACTGTAACAAAACGCAAACTGTTTGTGAAGACAAATGAGCTATGAGCTAATGTCAAATCCCCGTAGAATACCAGCCGCTGGATATGACAAAGCGATCGGACGCAACATTTTCTAACCACACTATCAAATCATCGTGGAATCGCATAAGATTTTAGATATAGCGACATGTCAAAAAACAGCTTGTTTTGATGAGAGCATAGATTAGGCTTTTTTGTTCATTTATCCACCAGTGTATTTTCGTGATAGTGAAGTTCAAGCGTCTCGTGAATCACTAATTTTGTTTTGGTGCTGGGGAAATTTTCAGTTCCCCGTTGAATGTTCTATTGGACGACCAACCGATCATGGAACAGAGTATAAGCTGCGCAATATGTATTTCAACAATCCTCCAACCTATTCTGAAGGCTCTCTATATAATGTTCAGTTTTGTTAAGGAAAGATTGTTCCAAAATGGGGGCATCCATTCTATACCTTTTACAGCTTAGGGCCTCCCAAAAACCCATTAACTTGTCCAACGACTACTTAAATGTCTTGGGAACAGTTACGCCTTAAATTCAGTTCTTGAATATGCACACAATGCAAACGGCAGAATGGGGTCCTTGGACGGGGATTGAACCCGCAACCTCTAGCTTAACGCCGGAGCGCTGTACCGAATAAGTCACCGCGGAGGTTGCTCTATGTCCTACATGTGCATTTGAGTCTGCCCATGTGACTTCTCATTCATTTTCAAAGCTTCCACATGGCAATTTCAATGCCTGTCAATAAAAATTAGTGTCCTGAGTAATGAATACCTTTCGTGTGTCCGCAAATCCACGCGTCTCATTCCGGCTACCTAGCTTCTACCGCGACACGCAGTGGGTTCGCATACACACTTACTTGAGGTTCAATATATAGGTGACTGCACTCAGCACTTGTAGACTAGCTGGTAGGTGTCGCGGATTGGTCGAACAGCTATCGTCTCTCGAGTATGATCGGATAACTGATGCAAATACTATGGAGATGTGTCAGTTTTAGACACCGCAGCGCAAGAAACAAGTGCATAATTTGTGTAGCTTCAGGACGACTGTCGGACAGTCTCCGTTAAGCGGAACGCAGGAAACTTGGGCACCGATTAGGTCGGTAGTAAGGGAGCCGAAGCGAAAGGATGTATCGAGTGGCCTGAACGTTTTTATTTGGTCAGAAACTGAGTAAACGTGTGTTTTGAAATCTGTACCGGCTTGTTTGATGAAAGCAAGTGCTCTATAATTTCGGTATCCTTTCTACCTATTGTGCGCGAATCTTACCAAACAAGAATTCATGGCAAATCCATTGATTCATTTCTCTTTTTTTTTCTAAAACCGGAGTAGCTTACTTAGATGGACGCCCCAAGTAAACATACACTGAAAATTGTCGGGCTTCGAAAGTCCATGATTCGTAATTCAGTCGAGGTTCTACGCTATAAACATCTCCTCCATCCATTTTGGACTTCATTAGGGCTACCCATCCCAAGAATCACTGGAACAATTGGTACTCCTGGTATTGTAGTTAACATATATAAGCGTTGTAAAGTTCCATATCGAGTAGCTGATCGGGATAGTTCGCCACTACACACAACATCCGTTTTCGCACATTTGTGGGTAAAACGGGTGCGATTCCAACATTCTGTAGACGTTGCAGTATCTGTTAAGCGGTGTGGAGAATAGCGATAAAATACGTGTTCATCGTAATGAAATAGCGTTTGACAAGGTGGTAACTTTCCCATACGTGTCGAATGGACTGGGACAGGAATTCATCAGTGGTGTCATGACCGTTATTTTGTATCAAGTCGTCAATTTGAGCAAGGGGTAATGATTACTTCACCTCCTCAAAGAGAAACTAGATGTTTGCATAAACGAAACTACTCACAAGGTTGCTGAAAACTCTTCGACAGCCCACCACCGGTTTCGCCCTTCTTGGGGCTCATCAGGTAGGCACAGTGCAGCACATTCACTCGTAGAACATCATAAACGAGAGATTCAGTTGGGTCTCTCGTGAAAACCAAATTGACTTGCAAATGAGTGTATTTCTCGAGAAACTACGTGTTGTTCTACAATGGAATCCAAGATTTAGCGAGAAAATAACCAGAGTCACACACAAGCGTAAACTCCAGCCAAACTAATCGAACTATACACATTAAAACAGCACAGTCGCCGAATCGAATGGTAGAAAATCGTATTAAACAAAGTAGCAGTGTTAATATTCCTTCTTTTCGACCTACCGGACTTTTGGCTTAGTTATTCTTAAAAAGATAATAGCACGGTGAGAAATTTCTGTGTCAGTCAGCCGGATTTCACTCTGAGCCTAAGCTAAGAATACTACAAACAACAGAAACTTTCTCCCAACCCATCACGTGGGTGAAGGTTCTTTGAGGGGACTGGAGATGAGTAGGCTAAATGTGGCGACATTTTGGGAAAACAAATGACGTTAGTAAAACTGAGGCATAGGGTAAGGCAGTAAACAATTTCTCAGCAAATGCAGCGTTCCACTCAAGGGGTACTGGTTGAGTTGTTGAATGAGAAATGTTTGAAATGACCGGGGAAGTTGTAACAATCCCGTCAGTATCCTTTATATTGTATGGACATCTGCGACAGATCTTCGGTTTAGACGATAAAGGTTTTTTGTACCTCAGACTGATCTGAATAGTTAGTGAAACCGGATAACCAGGCAGTGCACGCCAGCAATTATCGAGGATTACGAGGAACCTGGTCTCAGAACAAAATAATACATAGATATTCGGCAACGGGCAAGTCAACCCCCCCGAATCAGGAGCCCAGTATGACCCTATAGCGATTGCTTTATGAAATCACATTCTTCTTCGGAACAAAAGTTACGAATGGACGTACTTTAACGGTCTACTCACACTGGATGCTAAACACTATTAGTGCTCTTGTAATATGGAAACCTGGGGAAAAACAAAGTCCCCCGGCTCTTTGCTTTTCATTCAGCCAAATGCTTGCACACCAAACACTCATGGTAAAATTAAGTGCATAGCTAACTCCTTTCCTGAAAAATCACCGTTAGTGGTTCTTATCCGACACTTCCACGTGGCTTTTCTAAATTGGACGTGAATTCATAAACCGATTATGAGCACATAGAACTCGTCTTGGTTCGCAGCCACTCAGTGTCTAAAAGTTGTAATCTGGAGCAAGTTGCAAAGACAAAGGTCAAGCGCTAGCATTCAGCGTGCCATGCAGATTTGATTGGCGTTGTTGCGCTGTCCAATTTAGTCGCAGTAACAACCTAGACTGCGACTGCCCTCCAAGATTTGATTGGAGTTGTTGCGTTGTCCAATTTAGTCTCAGTAACAACCTAGACTGCGACTGCCCTCCTTCGCTAGAGATCTCATCGGTTTTGTGTAATTATGGCATTGAGTGCCATTGTCGATATGACACTTTTTTCTGTGATATCTAACGTTCGCATACCAACAAAAAAGCTACCGTGAAAAAAGACTTGTGTGCAGATGAGAGTGAGATTCGTCACATATTCTCGGTTCTGACAATGTCGTACAAGCTGCCTTCTCCCATAACAATCAGATGTGATGAAACCGACGGAGCGTGGAATTTCTCGGAAATTTTATCTTTTTGAATGCCGTTAGCGTGATTGGACAGCTAAAGCTAATGGACGGGTGCACAATCGAGTTCGTGGGAATCACGGTGATCATAATCGAATGCCTAACGGAGACCGAGGTGATCAACCACTTGACTGAATCAACGAAGATGCTACGGTGGTTCTGATGCACCTGTGTTGTGATGAACGGGTGTGTTCCAAAACCTTACTCTCCGGATGGTTACTCTTAGGAGGCTGGATATGATTTCTGAGGTGAACGGAAACGGTTGTTCGTGCATAGAATGGTGGAATGTGAATGACTGAGGATAAATTGTCCAGGTCGAGTGACATAAATAAACTAGACTTAGACGTAGAGCAGTACCATTATTTTAAGGTGTTTTAACCTGTTTTCTAGCCGCACTCAGCACGTCGGGAATAAAACCAGGCAATGGTTACACGAAATCACCGTAGTAGCAAGCATATCACTGTTGCAACAGCACCTATACACCATATGACACCCTAAGGAACGGGCATTTTACACCAAGAAGGTTGCCATCTTTTGATTAGTGAGCTTCTGGACAGTATCAGTGGAGAAAAAGATGGAAGGCTGTCCTTGTTTGCCAATGCTCCTTACCGCTGGTTGTTGTTTTAACTCCCCGCAGACGCTCGCGTCATCGCCATGCCGAACTACTAAGCTGACAAATAAACTTGTGGACCAGTCTAGCAGCCCCCCGAGTCGGAAATCGTAGCTGCACAGCACCAGCTGTCAGTAAGCACGCAGTAGGCTTAACAGTACCAGGCAAAAAAGCATGGTGTTAGCAAGCATTCATTCGCATACTTTGGAGTAGCAAACTTCCGGCATGTCATCATAAAACAGAATAGTTGAAAAGCAACGAGGATCCAGGACTTGTTATGAAACAAAAGTTGTCAAGTTGCTCTAGGAGATGTTCCGTTAACGACTTTACCTGACCAACTTTATTTTGCCTCGATTCTTGTTAGTTACACCCTCCTAACTTAAAGATAATCTATTTTAATGAAAAACAAATGCCATGGGATACAGAAGCGCACGATTACATGGTGTGAGCCCACGCTGGTACCCCATAAGGAGCGGCAGGTAATCATCGAACCTCGTCACCAGTCACTGACGGCGATGTGATCTTTTGGGATTCCGGGCCGGTTCGTTGATTACATGGTGTGAGCCCACGCTGGTATTCCATAAGGAGCGGCAGGCAATCATCAAACCTCGTCACCAGTCACTGACGGCGACGTGATCTTTTGGGATTCCGGGCCGGTTCGTTAATCGATTTAAACGTCAAGCGATTCCGGAAATCGGTACTACAAAGAAACGGTCTGTGATCGTCACACATTTGTAATAAACGATTTCCGTTATCCGCGGGCCTCGTAACCAATCCAAGACGACCGTTCACTTGAGCCTCAGCAGCGCTTAGTCTACAAACCTGAGCGTTCAAATTATCACCAAACACAACGGTGTCTGAGCATTAGTCCGTTGTAAAACAGCACTCAGAGCGTCACAGAAACTGTCTGACAGATTCAGAGCTACAGTCAGTTGGGACATAAACAGACACAATAAACAGGGCTTCAGTTTCTTGAGATCCTGTCTCACAGATCTTGCCAAATGAACCGCGCAGAGGCGACTGTCAACAAGTCTCCAATCCAGTCGAGACATTTCCCCTCGGTTACTCAATACAATATTCACCCCCAGCATATCCAGCTACGGCGGCTTCTGCGTCACCAAACTTGCGTAGACTGGACCTGGGCAGTCGATGGGACTTGCGCCCAATGCTCTTGTTTCTAATAGACGCCATACAGCAATTCAGAGGGAATCCAGCGTGCGAACAAGAGCCACTGATTTACCTGCTTGCTTCGGCGTGCTAACGCTAAAGGTAGCTAAGTAGATGGGCTTTCGGGGCTTGGAAGAAGACTTCGAACTGTTTAGGGTTTTTATCGAAGTCGGACAGAAAAGTTGCAGCTGAGAGCGATGCACGGCGAAGAAGACGGCTGGGGCTTGCAGATGGAGTAATCAAACTTGAGTTCGGTGGGTTAGGGGAGAGGAAACTTGAAAATGTAAAAAGGAAGGCGTCCAAAGTAGAGCGTTTTCGCTTACCCGCCCCGCTGATGCTGGATAGACACAACATGGGTAGCAAAGTAAGCTAAGAAACTGCAGAGGAGCCACAATCAGAACGATGTGGCGAGCACAGAGGATCTATTCCATCATGCGAGCCCACAGACTAGCTAGTTCAGAACTAAAGAATGGAAGACTAAGAACTCGCGAACCTACAGTTAGGAAACGGAAGAGCTTGCACGCAATGGGACCAGGGGAGAAACTTGTGGGGTGCTGTGCAGACCATCGTGGAAACTGATGAGCACCCATGGTACCTTCAGCAACCAATTAATCTGCAAACGAGTATTCACTGTAACGCACATAAAATTTGGTGTCTAAGTGTGAAATAACGTTGATGGAGGCCCATCTGATGAGCCTCGAGAAGGGCGAAAGCGGTAGAAGGCTGTGAAGCGTATCCATCGACCCGATGAGTCACAGGAAGTACAGAGTTGGGTTCGATGACAAAAGTCCACAACCAAGCGGCACTTGGATATCATAAAATTTCTTTTTGAAAATGGACAAGATAACATAACCTATCCGTGGAATGGGGAAAAATCTGAGAAATGAAAAAACGCAGGAGAACATTTGCGACACGTGTGTGAAGATCAGAAAGTTCACGGATAACAACGAATGCCTTCGGCTGGTAATCAGCGCACACGAAACTAATGATGAGTGGAACGCCTCCGATGGGAATCGGTGGGAGGAGTGTCCTGTGGTGAATAAAGGGATGGAAACGATCAGATGAGGCTGGAAAACACAACGTAGGCCAGAGTACAGTTTAAAAGGATAGCAAGACTATGTTGGAGATTCGCCCACTGCGCCAAGATGACTATTCAAGGACACTTATCAAGGAACCTCGGCAGTTTACAAACTTTACCTTCCCTTTCAATTGATATAATCATAACGATAGTTCCGTTTACCTAGGACTTCCGGTTGGGAATAGCTTAGGGTGCGAAAAAATAGCAAACTTCACTTACGCCACTAGGAAACAGCAGAAAGTGGATTAATGCTTCGTCGAGGTCGGCTTCAAAAGTAAGCACTACACGGCATCATCCACAGGGATACTATCATATTGTCTAGCCTGCAGGGAGGCAGAATAGCAAACTGTCTATGCTTATTCTTCGGAGAGATTCGATTCATCAGTAGCCTCAGCTGATTAACCAGCGACTTCCCAGGAGAGATCGTGAACTGGTTCACAGAGGTCAGACACACTTGCTACTATAAAAAAATCGAGGTGAACCGCGTATGGTATTGCGGCTCGGTAAGTCTAACATTGGAGCAGTTTGATTGAATGTGTAGAATGAGCAGTGCGGTTGTGGTTTTAAACCAGACGGAATCTATCAACAATAAAAATCACAATTTCGGGATTCTAATGACGAATTCTATATACAACTGACCCGTTTGCGTAACCGTACTCCTCTGATGAGCAGATACCGTTAACAATGAGTGAAAGTGATGTTGTTGGGAAACTAACTTGAGAAGTTGTTTCTGAAATGAGTAACTCGGTGGCAAGAATAGTGAGCTGAAAATTATTACTATTCTCCGTTTTTTCTTCTTCTGAGCGTGTCCAAAATATACAAACATAAGTTGGTGTTTCCTAACGTCGCCATACGGCAGTCCAGTCGAGGAATATAGCCCGAAACGGCTAGTGGATCTGAATTCTGCTGACTCAGTTGGTTATCCAGGCAAAAATGGATATTTGTAGTTCATTGATGCTGAGGTGCCTTGTACGTCTGTCATTATGGGTGGGGGTGTAAGTGAAATAGAATGGTGCAACTAACAGACGCTGATGGAATACTGATCGGCCACTATATAACATTCCGAAGGAAAACACTTTATCAGACATTTGCCAGCGTATTCCACTCAGCAGCAGATTACAATAAACGAAGACAAAGTAGTTGGTTGCACTCCTGCTGTGACAGGGCAATGCTGTGTGTCAAATGCGCTGTATATCGTGTGGTAGCGCCAAACTTAGATGAGGTTTTCAGCTAACCCCGGCTTTTACTACACACCTCCCACAATACTCTGAATACGAGTTCGTGGTATGCCATATCCACTCTTCAGAGACCATCGTGTGACTTCATCGATGAGTTCCAGTTCCGGTGGGCAGCAGTAAAACATTAGCTCCCCTGCAAAGAAAAATCGAACATCAACTACCACAGGACTAGGCATACGCCTCAAGTTGATCAGCATTCGAGAGGGGACAGCGACGAAGCGTCTCCAACTAAATGCTAATAAGCGCTATTTCTTATTCCGGCAGCCCACAAGCAAACAAATGCAAAATACATCGCTGCATTAAATCACCACCGACCGATGAAACAGACACGGTTAGATTACGAACGTTTAATATGGATTAAGTAGGAAAAGCGCCTGTTAACCTTAAATTGGGATGGGTAGATTATGCGGACTAAAACTAAAAGACTGATAAAATAGCTTACTCACTAGGGTTTGTACTATATACCACTGTCAAGTCAGGTTTATTTATAAAACGAGAGTGAAAACACTAGCAACTCGTATCATGGATTTCCGGACATACCTTAGTGCCGGGACCTCGCGTTATACGTACGGAACCGTCTTCGTCGACCTGGACAATTTGGCCGGCGCGACTATCCAACCGAGGGATAACCCATCGACCGGACCGCGTTTTTTCTAGGTCGCGAATGTCCAGAGCGCTTCCTAAGGGATCGACGCGTTCAGTGGCAGAGGGGAAATGAATCACTGATCACAATACCCATCAATGAATCTTAGTGTGTTCAGAAATAAAATGAAACTGATGACAGACTGCCCATACTGGGTGTGAGCCAGGATATCGACAATCAGAACTAGGTTAGCCGTGAATATCACTACCGTCAACGTGTCAGGAAATCGGCTTTTGTTGTGGGAAGAGTGAGGTAATGAGACCACTGTTACCTATGAACAAACTAACAAGCCGAACTGAGGGCATGGAAAGCCCGACAGGACTGTTTCAAACAAAACTGAGCTAATTCGGAACCCGATCAATTCCATATAAAATGTATTCACGTTTATATTCATCCATATTCAACAAAATCAAGAAGTGCGCGTAAAGTCTCGGGAAAATGTCAGTTTATTCCTGCTAGCTACATCATCGTTGATCACATGGCCAAAACGTCGAACTGCGTAAATGTACGAATCCAATAAACATACCGTTGGCAGTGTAAATTTTGAACAAATCTCCAATAGTCTTTTTCGACTTTGAACGTGCTGTGTAACGGTCGCCTTCCCTCGGTTTCCTCGAAGCGGAAGTCCGGAGTGATAGAGATCGATCTGTGGGAGGACGGCTAGTTCTTTTCGCAGGATGTTTTGTGTGATCTTTTGTCGATTTCCGATGTCTTTTTGACTGGGATACGTCTGAGAGACTCACAGAGAGTGAACTATTATTGGAGGAAATATCTGCGGGGGTGGCGAAATACGGTAATTATTTAGACTGTTTCATAGGGTCTTGTTAGGACTCCAGACCTCAGTCAAAGGATGCCAAACCGGTTAAAACATGCTTCAATTCGGAGTAATGTGGACTCGATGTATCCAGACCTACCAGGAAACATAAACGTGGTTTGGAAATGAATACAAAGCCACCCTATCGCTTGGTCAAGATACATCATTCACACCATCGTCATCGTCCAGCGGACTTCTGATAGTGCTACCTAGAATCGGTACAGCTTTAGACAGCCTCGACACTAGCGTCTTCCCTCATTGGACAAGTGGTCTACAGTAGAAAACACTTCAGATACTTAGTTCCGTCTCATGAAGCTTCTCTTAATAGTAGCGACCCTGGGAGGAATGACTTTCCAGAAGGGACCGGTTTCGGTCAACACCTTCAGCGCGACGAAAGAATCATTGCAGTTGATTCAAAGTCAATACTATATGACCCAACCAATAAGTGGAACGTTTTACCTAAACACAGGGAACATCCACCCTATCAGAAACGTTGCCCCTGACCAGAAGTTGGGCTTTATGGATGATGGTGGCGAGTGACGATGGTGCGCCCTAAGTTTTCGAGCACTATCAATGAGTGTAAAACACTGTAAGCACATCTACAATCATATGGAAGGATCACGGTGTTTATGTTGACCGGCCTCTGTCCAAAGTACGGGCGCTGATCCTGAAGTCTATAGTTTGCCATAATCCAAAGCAACTATTGGACTAACGTCATATTCCCTATAGGCGGAAACATGCAAAGATTTCCTGACATCCAGTGTGGAAGAAAGTGATAATACAATGGTGTTGCGCAGAATTTCAGATCCGAAGGAGTCTCTGAGGCAATTCCTGTAGGTGCTTACAATTGACTTCTTCCCAATAGAAATGACTTGGATTTTATCATAGTGACGATGGTCGCGGACGACTGGGGTGGTCCTCATGTGTTGTTTATTGCTGATGGGCGAGATGGCCCAAGTGGTTAGAGCGCGAATTTACTGACCGGAAGGTCCGTGGTTCGAATCCGGCCCCCGCCACTCGACTTCCTCTGTCTAGGCTTGGGCAACCTGGCAGTATTCCAGCCCTCGTGCTTCCTTCGGGTGGCATGACAGCTAGGCACCGGAAAGGTGTTACAGCTGAACGCTTTCTTTCTTTCTTTTCTTATTGCTGATAGTAAAAGATACGCTTCTTATCCAGCTTTCATTCAATCGACACCGAAAAGCACTGTACAGCTGTTTCATCCATGTCAATGCACCAGAACACGTCTACATGGACATCTGCGCGTGGCCTCCATATTGATTGTGGTTTGCCAACCACGCGCAGGCGTCCAGTGGCTCAACTGACGTTAACGGCAAATCTGATTCCGACTCCAACTACCCGGATTATTATTGGTGTTTAGAATTTGCAGAATATGCGTCGTGTGTTTGTATGTGTACGCGCGAAAAGCGACGGACATACCCTGATCATCATCATCACCATTGACAGCATGACATCAGTGTTCAACACCGATGCTTCACTACCGTACCAATTCATGGTTGTACGTGGGCTGGGATACTGCCAGGGCGCCCACACCTAGACAGGAGGACGATTAGGGTCCTCAACCAAAGCCTTTGGCTCAAAAGCCTAACCGCAAGGCAGCGGTGTTTGGCGGGAAATGCAAATGCATTACCATTTCTACGGAACAAGTCGCCACATGTTCCAACCCCCAACCTGGAGGGCCAGGAGACTGTGTTCGTCAGACCTCTAACCAATGACCGAGACTCTGTGAGTGTCGCGGCACACTCTCCAGTATAGCTCAATGGATCGCTGAGGTGCGCAAGCCGTCACACCACGGTAAGGTCCAGTCTTTTCGTGACGGGACATACCCTGAAAAGTCAGGCAACCGTTTAAAACAAACGAGAGATTCAGTTGGGTTTTAGGTGAGTCTCCCGCAAAACCAAATTTGTTTGCAAATGAGTGTATTTCGCTAAAACTCAGTCCGGTTTGTGACCGATCCTCCGAGAGCTACCCAATGAAGCCAGCAATTGATTGGGTTCCTAGGACTGACTACATCCTGCTACTCGTTTTTTTTCAAGAGCAAATGGAAAACTGAGAAAACATATACAACTATTAGCGCAAGTGCAATTACCTGAGGATTCTGCAAAATGATTGATTGCCTTATGACGAAGGCTAGACAAATCTTTACGTTTCACTGGCGTTCGCTGATTCGCCACGACAGACGCCGAAACGAACGTCGTGTGTGCATTGGATCCAGATGAACCACTAGAGACCACTGTAGAGGAAATCCAAGACGGTAGAAGAGATACAATCAACGCAGAAGAGACAAGGTTGAGTATACAGAGCCATTGTACCCAAAATTCAAAATGTAAGTACTGGTTACAGAGAGAAAATCCTGTGAACATGACAATAGGAGTTGAAAATGTCGTCGGGACACCATGCACCAGAATTAAGCCCCGGGTGGTCTACATTTAGACGATGTCACCTGATGAGCGGGTTGACGAACAACTGGGAACTAGTCAAGAAGCTCGTTTGCACTTAGCTAGGCTGCGTTAGTACATTATAAACCATACATCAAGGATACATAAGTTCCTGCTACTGCAGTATCTTCCATTGAGAAAGCAGGAACCAAAAGGGGCAATAGTATACATGCTGAACTGGGTTGTCATTACCATGTGGCTATATCGAATTGATACTTTTATTACTACTGAATAAGGAACCTAGACAGAAAGAAGCGCTACATCTTAGTATCCGCTTCACAGATGATGCAGCGGACCGCACTGTTTATCCACTTCGTTAGACAAAAGACAGCGCCTGGGGCATAAGTGTCCAATTTGTTTAACTGCTGTTGACAGCAACCGGTGCACGGATTTGTAACACGCATTTATCAACAACCTTTTTGGTTCAAATCTATCACCAAATAGGTCCGTTCATCTTACAGGCACTTGAAAGTACATTTAGGGCGCCCGGTGGCAAAGCCAGACAAAACAGTTGAGGAAGCTGGAGAGTTACCAGCATATGAAGACACTGCTAACGGGCCAGGGATAGTCCTTCACATCAGTCTTGCATTGTACACCTTTCGCTGGTGAGCGAAGAAATAACCACGCATGTGGGAGTGGCCTTGTCCACATAGGGATACGTTGCTCTCAAAAGCACAATACAGTGGGCGGTACGCAATCTGAGACGACCAAAATAAAGCCATCGGGGGGACAGCTTCATCCAACAAAATAAGGAAAATTATCGAGTTGACTATCATGGTTGTTCAGCCTTTCATACCAAATGATCGAAATTCGAATTAATTGACTTATCCAACAGCTTTCGACAGTGCTTCTGTTTTGCACTTTAAAATGACAAATTACATACACATAGCGGCACGTAGTTCACACAAATTCCAAATATTACTTGATGAGACTTGAACTATGCCACTGCGGAAAATTGGCCGCATGATTTCGACATTCAGGAATTCGGAAAATGATTTAGAAACCTGTTCCGTTCCAAAGCTGATTCACTCTAGTACACCTGGTCATTACACCTTGACGATTAACAAAGTAGACGACCTTAGCACTAACGGTGATTCCCAACAAGAATGAGATAGTTACAAACTTCTCGAATAGTCGACATGGATTTACTAAACCTTTCAAATTCGAATTTAAAGGATAAGTCTCGAAATCTCAATGCTGTTTATAAAAAGCGAAGGACGTCACGGTAAAACTAGAACTAATTGTGAAAAAAATATTCACAGGTATAAGTATCTTTCTTTCGCAGAATGCCAGTTTTATTTTACTCACTGGTTACAGTATCCTGTTCTTTGTGATGGTTCTGATGAAGCGCGTAAACAGGGGTGGGCATGGCCAAACCAAGTGGGGATTGGACAGGTGGAATGGTCTGTGAATGCAAACAAATGAAGAGGCGCAGGTGAATTAATTCAGAGTGGGCAAGGATTATTACAAATTGGGTGCGATCAAAAAAGAGGAGATTGGTCCTCTAGTACGTAAAATCTCCTAGAGATGGATTGTTTGCAATAAGAAATGTACGATTACTGACAAATTCAAATGGCAAGTAATATATATATATAACTATGTAGCAGGTATCAGGATAGTCATACGTTGTACGGACATGAAACGCTGATCTGGATAAATCTGAAAGGCCTCAAGATGACTTTCCTATTTCCCACAAAAAAGAACATCTCCTCGGAGTAAATGCCTAATGCTAATTTCCCCACTGGTGAGCTTCAAGACAGGAATCCACGTCGCGAGCGCAGGTTAACATAAAGACCAAGCCATTATCAAAAGGATAACGGAGAATCACACGTTAGAAAGACGGAATACGGTTGATCCGCCACGAAGAGACTGGATATTACCGTGATGAGCACATATAGACCCAGTGAGCTATACTGTAGGTTGTTAGTGTGATGGTCGCAATTTCTCATACCATGTTAGTCAATACGGTAGTTGAGCACCAGTATGTATTACTGGTATATTGCTGTCATTGGTGATGATGGTCATGGATAGAAGACAAAAACAATCTCCTGGCCTCCCAAGTGCGGCAACATGTCCACCAAGGTTTGCCCTGCGCTGGTAGTTTCACGACAATGATTGCTGCCTTGCGATGGGGATTTCGAGCCAAAGGCTTTGAGTGATAACTCAGAGTGTCCTCCTGTCTAGGTTTGGATGCCCGCACACACAAGGAATACAGAGAACTTCATGTCACACTGGTCGTCCCGTCCCTGTTCGCCTTATTTTCTGCACAAAACAAGTAGAGTAAGCAAAACAGACTACCACTGATACCTTTCATCCTTCTTGGATAGTATCTCTTGATTACCCTATCCCATTTAATGATAACCATAAGTACATCAGTCATGCACCCAAAGAATTGACGAAGAGCCTACCACCGCTAACGTCTGTCAATTCGCGACCGCTTGAGGCCCTTCTGCTCTGCTTTTATCGAGACCTTTAGTGTGAGAAATCTGATACAAATCGACCAGAAGGTCGCTCTGTTGGACACTCTTGAAACTCTGTCGGTCGATATTTTCTGCGTTTCCGAAACTCAAGTACAAGATCCATGTACGGCAGTCAAGTTTAAAGCATCCTCGTCATCTAGACGCTACCGATTACGAAATTCAGGCGAGTATGAGCCTCCTCCAGCGGGTTACGCCTGTCTTTATAGCTCTCATGTCCCGACTAAGGCTTCCTTACTCAGCTAAATTCCCGTAAAAAGTCACCTTTGTGTTGTTCGTTCACCAACCTGAATAAGGGCCCACACCAGTCGAAATAACACCCTTTCTTTAGTATCTGCATACGGTGGAAGATATATTCTGTCGAAATTATCTGGAAGTGGCCACTTCCACAAAGCGCAGAGTAAGAGAATTATCCTAGAAGACCGCTACCAAGTTCATTAAAGGTGCTATTTGGTGGCTTGGTCAGGTTGGACTGAGGACGTAATGACAACGGCGATCGTCTTTTGTAGCTTTGCACCTACCAGCAATTGTTCCTCAGTATTACAGGGCTTCAGATGCGGTGGAAGCCGTCGCGCTGCCTGACTTCCTCTACTGATGAACACACAGCCAATAACGCCAGTTCAGACCATGCTCGTGGTCCGTGTGAATTTTAGACAATCTTTCATCAGTAGGAAACAAGATAACAAACTCCGCATTTAGTCACCGGAGAGTTTTCGGACTTACAGGTTGAATCGTCTTGTCGAGCTGGTCAATGTAAAGTTGTGAAAGGCACATCGCCAACAGAAATCGATCGCAACTGAAGCAAAATAAGCAGTGCCACTCATGTGGCAGGAAGTCGGCAAGTGGTATTTCTGAAGGCTCACCAAACATGTATTATGCCTTTCTGTTTTGAAGGGCCATAGAGCGGCAGGGCCGACTAAGCTCTCATCAGCGCTTTGCAAAGACGGTGGTGAATCTCTATTTTGCATTGACCAGGTTATTTAAACTAATCTTTGAATAAGAATGTGTTCCAACTGAGGCTAGTCAACCATTCATTCAACCATTCTGGATTCAAAAAGGCGCCTAGAGGGAGTGTTCCAACAGCAGTGGTATACGCCTTGCTCCATTTGTAACACGGCTATTAAATTCAACAATTTTTAATGGGGGTGCCGTCTTGTAAGTAATGCCAATCTATGTTTGAAAGCTGCTCCATTCTTACTGGGAATCATCAGCAAGGGAGTTTCTAACCCGCGACCTCCCAGCCGGTTTGGTTTCAATAAGTAACCGTACGACAAAGAGCGGCTAATTAGTAGTCCGATTAACTCGCACCTACAAGATATAGAGCCACTCATTCTTCAACTACGGGATTCGCATCACATGGTCACAGGTGTCAACTGGCACCTCACCTTGGCTACTGCATGAACCGTAACTGAAGTGTGATATCAAGCATTATTTGCTAACCAGCGTCCGCTTCGACATCAGAAACGAATATCACTGAAGTTAAAGGTCAGAGTCTACAAAACGACACTGAAAGCGGTCTTACTTAACAGCTGTGGAACTTGGCCCGTTAGATCTGACGACCTCAAACGCCTTCAGATAGTTTATCACCGCTGTCTACATAGTATAACAGGCGGTAACTGTCTGCAGGATGTACGTAACGAAAGTCAGTAGGTAAGCGCTCGGTGGTGTTAGATTCGTTCGAGCGGCATAAAAAACTTATAAAGTTAAGGTTGATTGGACCATCGTCTACTAAAGAAGACTATGCCCCCCCCC